ATAGATACGTTGGAGACGTAACACCTCTCCACCCACCATTACTAAAATTTCACCAGTCGCGACGTACCCTCAAACACCACCCCGCCCACTCCCCCTCGAACCCTAGCTCACCGCCGCCGCCAACCCCTGACGGTTTGCCCATGCGACCTAGCTGAGATAATAAAGTTCACGTTACCCATCGATTCCCATATCGTCACCCCCTGAGTTTTTAGATGAGGCCTGTGGTGTCCCTCCCTGCCAGATCCACATCCCTTACTCCAAAGCACAGCCTAAGCCCGACCACGTATCCCGGGGAGCCCGACGAGTGTTCATCCAAAAAGAGGTTTATCATGGCCTCTCCGGCGGACATTGGCGAGGTGGCCGCCGTTTGTCCCGACCTGTCGATCCCGAAGCAACACCTCGCCGCAGAAACCAACGAGGACGTTAACTACTTTGCCATGTTAAAGGCTTCACGCCAGCGGGCTAGTGTATTACTGTATCTTGGGAAAGCTGGCTACGACATCAAGCTCGTCGACAGCGACGGCTTCACGCGGGCCATGTCATAGGTTAAGTGATCCATCCCCAACCCCTCTAGTTCAACCACCGTCGAACTCTTTTAAAGGCCCTGCCGATCTCCTTTGCCACGCGGTCAAGGATTTGCGATCCTTGTATGCCATCGAGCCCATTTTGTTATTTCTGAAGGACACGTTCTACGGCAGTGGCATGGGATCCTCAATTGCCAAGTCAGATCTCATCGACCACGACCACGAGGAGGGCACCCACAAAGATTCTTCCAAGGTGAAGCAGCCCATCTGCGACGTCAGAGAGTGCACCATGGGTTTGTGCTCTTCCAAGTGGAAGGATCCCGTCCATGACAGGTGAGGCAACATCCTATCAGCAAATCTTACCTTTTCTAGCTAGTCAACCCGTACCCTTTGTTATCGTAGCTTTTGTCATGTGGTGTTTTAACTATGCCGTGTTTAATTATTTCAGTTATGCAAAAATGTAATGTTCAATAGGGCTATGTGATGTTTAAGTATGAATTGTCCACTTCAGTTTCACGAATGGCTATATTTGGTTGTTTATAGTGAGTAGATGCCTTGTTTATCTGTATTTGGTTGTTAGGTTGGTTGCAGTGAGCATTTGTACAGTTATCAAGCAGATGCCTTGTTTATTTGTATTTGGTTGTTAGGTTGGTTGCAGTGAGCATTTGTCCAGTTATCAACATATGCCTTGTTTGTTTGTATTTGGTTGTAAGGTTGGTTGCAGTGAGCATTTGTCCAGTTATCAAGCAGATGCCTTGTTTATCTGTATTTGGTTGTTAGATTGGTTGCAGTGAGCATTTGGCCAGTTATCAAGCAGATGCCTTGTTTATCTGTATTTGGTCGTAAGGTTAGTTGCAGTGAGCATTTGTCCAGTTTTCAAGCAGATGCCTTGTTTATCTCTATTTGCTTGTTACGTTGGTTGCACTGAGAATTTGTCCAATTTTCAAGCATATGCCCTGTTTAGCTGTATTTGCTTGTTAGGTTGGTTGTAGTGAGACTCTGTCCAGTTTTCAATGGCTATATTTGGTCGTTATACTGATCATTTATGCCTTGTTTATTTCGGTCATTCACAATGTGATGTTCATTACATGCAACTCGAAACTATGGAGCTCGATTTCATCAATACGAGTTTGAACGACTATATTTGGTTCCAGTTATGCCTAGTGTAGTTAACACATGTCCTTTATTTTTCAGTTTTACATATTTATCCAGTGTGATGTTTAAGCATGAGCTACGTTCTATTCATTTCAACAATACTAGTTTGAATTGCAATATTTGGTGGCTGTTAAGCCTGTTTGTAACATTCCCTTCCATTTTATATCCGCTTTAATAGCATGCTGAAACCAACACATTCAATCTATCATTTGGAGATGTTGTTGTTTACCTTGGCTATATTTGGTTGATGTTAAGGTTGCTCTACTTGTCATGCCTATCCACTATTTATGTAGGAGAACAACGGAAGTGGCCAGCATTTTCCGCCGAGGTTAGTTTCATCCATCGGCTTGTACTCCCCCCGTCGTTCCATAATGTAGTGCATATAGATTCAGGCCTGGACACTTTTTAGCTTCTAATATTGACTTGTTGCTTGTATGTACATATGCCCTTGGCAAAGATCCACGCATCGACCCTTTTTGCGTATGGGGTAATGATATATTCATGAACAAGCATCAAGTGAGGAAACTGATAAGGATTATTAGCAAAAAGATACGAATAGTGGCAAGCAAATTATTTGTTTACGCTCTATCCAACACAACAGTGAGCTGTAGGATGGTAACTACAAACTGTGCATCCTTCTCTTTTTACTGCCCATAATGAGTTGTTAGACAATGATGTCTGAATCTTTTTCGTTTGCACCGCTTCCCAAAGCAGTTTACTCAAGATTACATCACAAAGTACATGATTGGTGGACACACAATGAAGGTTAAGGTATTTCATCCAGACTACAATGAGCATCGAGAAGTCCTAATGAAGACAATGAAGGATGGACGGGCAACCATCACAAGGGGTTGGCCTAGAGTTGTGCACGCATTACACATGGAGGAGGGCACAATATGAGCATTCTGCTTCACCTTCTCCAGCAACCAGAATGTCTTTCGCCTATCTCTTTACAGTCTTTAGTACAACCGTGGTTCATCTTTTTTACTTGGTACTTCTGTAGTTTTTTAGTATATGTACCTGTGCATCGAATTATGCATTCGTCTTTGAACCTATATTTGCAATAAACACGGTTCGATATGAAATAAGTGATTGTCTACTTTCAAATTCAAAATCTGTGATTTTCAAATGTAGGGATTAAATTTGGGATTACACTACACACGATTTGTGAAAGCAAAATGTCTTTGATAAACGTGGAGATCAGACACGTTTCTCGGATCCACTACGTGTGCGATCAATCTCTACTGCACACACGATCAACCAAGAAAAACGTGTGAGATTAACAACAACATCACACACAGTTCCTTCTTATTAAATGTTTGCGAACGTCACCTTATCACACATGCTTGGCAATTATGGACTGCTTATGATGTCGTGTGCATAGCAAATGTTTGCTCATAGAAGAACGTGTGTGATAGGTCTTCATCCGACGTGGGTACGACAGATGAATCATGTGGGATATATTCAAAGTTCGCATATAGTTTTATAGGGACAACAGTATGCACTCTTACATCGAATCACATACAATCGAGGAAAAGTATATATGTGTGATTGTATGCTCATCGTACATGTTCTATAATCGTGAACTGTTTGTGATGAGTTGCACATCATAAACGTAGTACCACAAAATACCGATTGTGATGGCAATGCAAGCACAAACGAGTAGCAAGGATGGAGCGTTTGAGATATCCGAGATATCAGAAACGGTTTTATAGGGACAACTGTATGCATCATGGCTCCTTATCCCCAACGATTTTTGGATCATGTGGGAATGACCCCCCTATACCCACACTCGCCTTGCGACGGTTTAAAATGCCGCCGCGGAAAGGGGTTAAAAACCATTTATATGGCAGTTCGATGTATCCGTGCTGGAAGCATCGGGAAGAGGCCAAAAAATATACGAGTGGGCCACGGGCACACCGTATGAGCTTGTGGGTCCCTCGTAGGTCGTATATGGAATAACTGCTCTTGCGTGAAGGGATTTCGCTATTGCGTACGAATCAGGCCGACCCATTTTCTTCTCCTCCCTCGCTCGCTCAGATCGATCGCTCTCTCGCTATTAGCCGCTCCTGCACTTGCTTGGTCCGGTTTTATTCCCCTTTTTCATTCTTTTCTTTTTCTTCCCTTTTCTCTTCTTTGGTTTTTGTTTACTTGTTTTATTCAGTTCTCTATTTTTCTTTGTTTCTTCATCAGCCTTTTCATTTTTACACGGTTATTTGCTTTCTTTTTATTTTTGTTTCTTTGTTTCTTTTCCGGTTTTCATTGTTTTTTCTGTTTTTCTTTATTTTTATTGGTTTTCATTCTACATTTTTTGTAAACGTCGAGAACATTTTTCTAGTACACGTTTAACTACTGGTTAACATTTTTTTAATACACAGGTAACATTTTTTCTGTACACATTTTTAACATTTTTCAAATGCCCGATTAACTTTTTTTAATACATCGTCAACATTTTTTCTATGCGAATTTTAACATTTTCAAAAGCTTGACTAAAAATTAAATACAATATTAACATTTTTTTAATACATGATCAATATTTTCTGTACACATTTAATATTTTTCAAATGCTTGATTGACATTTTTTCTAAATGCAAGATAAACACTTTTTGAATACATGGTCAATTTTTTTCTATACACATTAATTTTTTTAAAATATTTTGATTAACATTTTTCTATACATTTTTAAAAATGTTTTATTAACCTTTTTTAAATACATGATCACATTTTTTCGTACACATTGTATTTTTTTTGTATTACATGAGAAACATTTTCTCTATACACATTTAACTTTTTAAAATACTTGCTAAACATTTTTTTTGTAAAGTGTTTTTAAAATATATTTACTTAGAACATTTGGAATTTGGAAATAATAAAGAAAGCAAAATAAAAAATCAAAAAATATGAATAAAAAAACATAAAAAGTCCGAGGCTGTGGCCTCCCGCAAGCTGGGCTGACGCGAGGAGTTCCCTACATCTCGTCATAGGGGCCCATACGAGATGAGGTTAGGTTTCCGAACTTCGTCACTCGTCAGGGACGGTACCTGTTTCTTACGGCGACGATGCTCTCTCTTCTTTACGTCAGCCAGGCGAGAAAACGGAACCGTATATTTCTTCAGGAAAGGAAAGAAAACGGATGTATAGTTCCTTCATCCTGTGATGGATGTCTTGAGGCGGAAGTAGAAATCGAAGAACTCTTTATTAATCCCGAGCAAATCCACCAAGAAGAAGAAGGAAAATCACCATAAACCCTCGCGTCCGAATAACCACCCCCATTCAACCCCCACCACCGTGCCGGGCAAGCAGAAGCAGCCGCACGGCGTGATGGCGCCGGAGCCGGAGCCGGAGGACGGGAGGGAGCTCTACGCGCTGCTGCACCTCTCGCCGGAATCCTCCGACGAGGAAATCCGCAGGGCATACCGCCAGTTCGCGCAAATCTACCACCCCGACAAGTACCAGGACGCCCAGGTTACCCTCCCGCCCCCTCTCTCTCCGTGCTGCCGCTGAGATTCGATTGGTGGGAACCAATTGGCTACTGTCCAGCGGTGGCTTAGGGTTGCTAGACTCAGAGCTTTTGTTGGTGGTGACATTGCGGTAGCTTGCGGTACGATGTGGTGGGGCAAAAATTGTGTAGGAATTTGATTGTCTTGATTTTAGGTCGTTAGGCAGTTGGTTTCCACTGGTTTGATCCAGAGCTGTCGTGTGCTTGAATTACGCATTGGTTGGTTCGGACAGACATTGCTGTTGCTGTGCTATAGTTTGTACTCCCACGTCTCATAATATAAGAACGTTTTTAAGCTGTTTGAAAAACGTTCTTATATTATGGGACTGAGGGTGTAGTGATTTCTCCTTCTTCACCGAGAGACAGAGATCAAAGGGAAGGGTTGGTCAATGTCTGTGGCTATATGCTAATTCCCGTGGTATGGGTTTATTCCTTCATCATGTATCAATCATATTGCATCCGAGGAGATTATTAGGAAAATTATAATGTCATAAGAAGAGGCTGGGTAATGCTGAGTCAACTGCGCATGCCTGGGTGAATAAAACCTACATTTCGTGCTGGTCAGTCTGGAACAGGACAGATCTTCGTTCGTTATGTGGTAACAACCTGTCTTGCGTATTTTGATTGGATGTTGGAGAGGTGACAACCTGTCATGGTGTTACCTCATTCCGTAGAAACACAAGCATGAGCATCCTGCTAATTATATTTTGATCAGACCCAAAACTTATCCTGTAAATATCAGTTTGGCAAAAGAAAATGTTCTTTGACGAATGGAAATTAGAGAAGGGACATGCTGTTACATGTTCTTTTTGTAATGCAACTTTATATTAAATTTGTTAAGATTAAAATTTCTGACGACGGTAGTTAGGCTTGCACTTTTGCTATCTGCATTTTGCTGAATAACTCATCTGCGACAGTTTGCGTTCCTGAATTCTTCTGACCTGACTAGCATCTTCTTTTGTTGTCTTCTCTGCTTGTATAGATGAAGGATGTAGCAACTGAAAACTTCCAACGGATACGTGATGCATATGAGATACTATCGGATGAGAACAAAAGACAGATCTATGATATTTATGGCATGGAAGGTTTAAATTCTGGTCTGGAACTTGGTCCCAAGTTAAATAAACCCGAAGAAATCAAACGACAGTTGGAAGAGCTGCGACGGCGTAAGGAGGAAGAGAAACTTTTCGTTCATGCTCGATCCACTGGATCAATCCTAGCTAATATCTCAGTGCCACAATATTTAGATGGTGACGGCATCATGGGAGGGTACAGAGTATTTTCCATTTTACTATGATATGCCCTCTGTTCTCATATATGCGGTGCGAGGTTCCTATCATAATTTAGAAGCCATTTTCTGTTTAGTTCTTGGTTATTGCCATCTTGTAAATTCTTTAACTTCAGTAACTTGGTAATCATAGGCTTCATCTGTTAATTTTTATTTTGTTGATATAATCATTTTGTGCTGTTTCACATTCTTTGACATGTTTGTTGGTGATGGAACATACTTTAACTGTATATATACCTTTAGCAGACAGAAGTCCTGGCCTTTGTATATCTGAAAAGGGATTATACAGAATGATAGACCTTTACTTGCAGAAAACTTACATTCATTCGTCATTGATCATCATTATTACCTTTCCGTTTTATTTACTTTTCATCCAATTCTGAGTTCTTAGACATCTTGTTTTAGAGTTAAAAATCTAATAAACACAGTAACCTCTTGACGTAGATATTGTCCATCAATACTTAGATGTCATATTAACTTCTGTATTTCTCATATTCTTCAGCATTAATAATTCACTTTTTTTATTTCAAAATTGCTAGAATGGGAATGTCTAGTGAAATTGAGCTGCCAGTATCCAAGCAAAACACTGTCACTGTTGGTGGAAATTTGGTCGTCAATGGTACGACTGGATCTGGTGCAGCAACTGCTGTGCTGCGCCATCAGCTGTCTTCTGTGTCTTCGATAGACTTTATGGCAACAGCTGGACTACGTTCCCTTATTGGAGTACAGACATTTCGGTGAGAATTTGCCTTTTCTGTGTTTTCCTTCCCTATTTCACATCCTAATTCTTTGGTGTTTCCTGCTTCAGTCAGATTTCACCAAATTCAACAGCAACTTCTGGAATTGCTCTCTCATTGAGAGACGGATCTGTTAATCTGTCAAATGGCTGGACTCGCCAATTATCTGAAGACACTGTTGGCAATGTATGTCCCCTTGTATTTAGTGCTCTTTTCATGTGTCCTAAACACTTTATTCGTAATATGTGACTAACATAAGCAAGTAAGTTCACTTCGGACGACAATAACAATACGAGAACCTAGCTATTCGAAAAACATGATTGCAACATGTGCACGATCTATAATGTCAACCAGAGATGCTGAAGAAACGGTTTGGAGTTTGTATATGATTATATGCAAACCATTATCTCTTTAATTTCAATATATTTTCTAGTTTTGGACTTGCAGTGCAAAATTCCTCTAGCCGATTAGGTTTACGCAAACTTTTAGACCATATACAGCTAATGTCCGACAGTAAATAAATGAATATTATACTATCCAAAAGTTGATCCATGTCCAGTACGTGGTGTTGACTGTTCATAACCTAGAACTTGTGGCTTATGCAACCCCGTTTCCAGTCCATGCCCAGAAATCAGGTGTCAATTGTACCTTGGTGGATAAATTACAATATTGACAGAGATTACGTTTATAGAAATTTCAAGTTCCATGCAAATCCAAATTTTGCCATTATTTCGTCCTCTGGTTACTCTCCAGTGAGGCATCTTGGCATAGTTATTCGTTTTATCTTTATATAGTACTCCCTCCGTCCCAAAATAACTGTCTCAAGTTTAGTACAACTTTGTACTAGAGCTAGTTCAAAATTGAGACACTTATTTTGGGACGGAGGGAGTATATGCTTGTGGTTATCTTCTCTATCTAGATAGCTAACTCCCACTAACCTATTTCTCCCAACATGCAAGCATGCCACCTCATCACATGCAACACGCATGGAAAAAGGCCCACCTCAATATGCAACCATGCATAGGAAAAAGGCCACCTCAACATGCATGATAGTTTCCATTCTATAATGCTATTTATATTTATTAAATACTTTGCAACTATACAATAATCAAACCCAACAAATCATTTGTACTTTAGCTTTTATTGAAATATATTGCATGACATCTCTGCGGCAACGTGCGGGGTATAGGATAGTTTGTTACTGATACCACGGGGTTGACTGTTCATGTTGTTTAAGTTTTATGTCTGTTGTTTGGATAAGCTGATGCTGATTTTTTGCTTGTATGCTACTTCATTTTTTCCCCATCCTCCAGATACAACTTGTCCTTGGTACTGAATCAAATATATCTGTCGGATGGCAAAAGAAGGATGAAAAAAGGTCTGCTGCAGGAGAAATAAAGGTAGTTCTCATTTACAAAACCAACTTAGCTGTAAATCTTATTTAGAAAACCGATTTGGTTATCTATAAGCGAATAATTGACAGAATTTTTTCAAGAAGGATTTTTTTGGAAACATATAGTTGACATTCCAAGTTTCCGCAACATTTATTTCTAGTTCTGAATAGTGTCATATTGTTCTGTTCCGAATAATCTACTGCGTTCCTTTTCTTTTGCACAGCTCCCCATTATATATTATTTGAGTCAACATATCCTCATTATATATTGTGATGCACCTGCCTTTGTGGTAAAATTGTGGACCACTGAACATGCAATATTGTCTGTTTGATTCAGCTTTAATATGTCTGACCTGTGGTTGAAGGACAATATGATTTGCATATGTAGATTTAATTTGAATTGGTCTGACTGTACTGGGTTCATGAACTAATTGTGTATTTTTCATTTCACCATTTCACCGCTTGCATTAGGCAACAGTTGGATACTTGCCCTGTATTAACTATATACTTCCTTTTCTCCCCAGTTTGGTACTAATTCATTTGGGGCGTCTGCTCATTACACCCATCGTTTCTCCTCAAAGTCCCATGGTCGTATTGCTGGTAGAGTTGGAAGGTATATACCGCTGTGATCTTACTTCTATCTGGCCATGTAAACCTCACCGCTTTGCATTTTTTTGATAAACCGGTATACGAGTTTGTAACTTCTCTCTCTTCTCTCTTGAACTTCTTATTTGCAGCACGGCCCTTGATTTTGAAATTGGAGGAGGAAGACGGATATCAGAGTTCAGTACTGTAAGGATGCTCTATAATATAGGAATCCAGGTGAATATGCTTGCTTCTAAGGTCTCCTGTGTTGGATGTGTTCTCAGTTTGCTTCTTTATTTCTCCTTTTGCCTCTTCATTATTGCCAAAACTTTATTTATTTATCCCCTTGAGTGAAATAATAATAGAAAATACTCCCTCCATCCCATAATATAAGAGCGTTTGACACTAGTGCAGTGTCAAAAATGCTCTTATATTATGGGACAAAGGGAGCACAAAATAGTATTAACTACTGATTCAAGCAGTAATGGGTAATGAAGCAAACGACTCTTGCATGTTCATTGTTTGTCCAATACAAAAACCAGAATATGAATTGTAACTAGGAAATTGCAGTTGATACTACTCCCTCCTTATCAAAATATAATACGTATTTTGCTCTAAATCTAGACCAAAAAGCGTCTTATATTTTGATAGAGGGAGTATTTGATAACATGCAGCAACCATGCATTCATGATCATGTAATCTTAGCTACTTTTCATCTCATGGAACAGTTTCACTAGTTTGTGTACGATTCGTGTTGCATGTTATTACACAGCCAGTTATCTTAATATTCATTATTTGCTCTGAGATGCAGGGTGTCACTTGGAAATTTGAGTTGAATCGTGCTGGGCAAAAGTTAGTTATCCCAGTAAGTTGAGCTATTACACCTCTGAATCCTGCCTGTTTTTTATCTGATAGTATAGATGTACATGTAGCATAAATTTTACAGAACTATTCCCTCCGTTCCTAAATATAAGCCTTTTTAGATATTCCAATATGGACTACATACGAAGCAAAATGAGTGAATCTACACTCTAAAATGCGTCTATATACATCCGCATGTAATTTGTACTGAAATCTCTAAAAAGGCTTATATTTAGGAACGGAGCGAGTATAAGGCAGTCTCATTTACTTGCAGCTATGGATCCCTGTACTGTAACACAGTGGGGTAGATCGTAAACTTGTTGGATTTCACTGAATTCTTCAGTAACTGTGCAGGTCTTGCTTTCAACTGACTTCAATGCGTTATTCGTCACCGGCGCATTTGCTATTCCTTCAACTCTATATTTTCTACTTCAGGTTCTAATATTCCTGACCTACTTGCATTCTTACCCTGGCAGAAATGTGTGAACTGATAGTTGCATGTAGATAAGGCAGCTCACTTTTGTTACCTTTGCTGCATCCGTAATGTGGTTACTAAAGCCAAGCTGTGGTGTCTTATTGTTTGACAGACATATGTTGTGAAGCCTTATTATCTAAGGCGAGAAAAGCAGAAGACACTTGAAAAAATGGATAGCTTGTCTACACAGGTAGAATCAGTGTTTGTGTTCTTGCTTATGTACCAGCTTATGTACTTCATCACATAAAAGGCAAATTGGTTAACTTTTGTGTTTGAGTCATCACATATTTTTGTTTAAGGAAATAGTCATCTATATTTGGTTGTTACTACATGTTAGTTCAGTTTGTGAAGGCTCTATATGGCACAGATAACTTGGGTTAGCCCATTTGGCAAGATGCATACTTGTGACTAGTTATTTACTTCTCCTTAACATAATTTATTAGTATGTAGTATGTACTCCCTCCGTCTCAAAATAAATGTCTTGAGTTTAGTCCAAATTTGTACTAGAGCTAGTACAAAGTTGAGACACTTATTTTGGGACGGAGGGAGTATTTAGATAATAAATCGGATTGTTGTTTCTCAGTTTCTGCTACTTGCGGCATTTAGCTTATACCCCTCGACTGCATTGGTGGCAGTGTTTTTCTTGTCGAAATTTCATATATTTTTTATGATATTAACTCATCTAGTGATTGAAGGCGTATTTTCCTGTGTCATGTATACTTACTGAAGACATCGTTCTCTGTATAGCTAACAGAAGCTAGACAAGCAGCTAAGAAGTCACAAAGATTGCTGGAACCTGTCTCTAATCGCAAGAAGAATAAACAGCAGGAGAGTGATGGTCTGGTAATCACAAAAGCTCTGTATGGCAATCATAAAAAGGTCAAAGAGAGTAGTCAATTGAGTGAGATAGATGATAACGTGGCTTCACAAGTATTAGATGTGACAATCCCACTCAACTTCCTCGTGACCGAGGCAGGTCAGCTCAAGGTATGTTTCAGTCATATTGTTTATAAGTTAAGTTATTTATGTGAACTATAAACCTAGCACTTGACAAGATGAAGAACCGTGAGTTGTGTTTCTGTTAGAAGGCCAATAATAGCAGTATGGTACTTGTGGATTGCAACTTGCAAATGAAGGCTGTCATAAAACTATCATATATTTCTTAAAACAATCCATGCATTCGAAATTTATCTTTTGTAAAGTAAATCTCTGTTCTTTTTTTACTACCTTCGGTTTCTCGTTTCAGCAAGACATGTTAGGCTAGCAATTCCTCTTTGGACTGTAGATGCTCCAGGAAGAGGGTTTGATTAAGTTCTCCTGGGTCTGTTAGAGCAGTAATTAAATTAATTAAACTTTTTTGGAGGTTGATAGTTTATTTATTGAGGAAGAGTCAATCCTTCTCTTCTCACTTCAAGATTGATCATCTCGAGCCATCTGTTGAGGGTGGAAATTTAAGAATAAATAAGTTTTAAGCAAACTTGTTTAGTCGTCTACTGTACTAGGTCGCTTATTTGCATAAACATGCTCTGATATTGAAGGTATAGAACAATCGAGGAATAGCTTGCATGTATCCATTTTATATTTATAAGTTTTGCCTCCTAAATAGTGTGCATGAATTTAAGGAAACCAAAATTGGTCCCCATATTATATATGCAACTAATCATCTCTCAGATACCCGCGTTCAATGCGGTTGTCAGAACAAGTCAGCTTCAGTCCCCATTACTATTAATGAATGAGATCATGAATATATCATATTCTCTCCTTTCAAGGCCCCTGCACGTTTCATGGTTCAGTTTAGCCAGCAATTGGGCCAATAAAATGTGGGTTTATGTGTCACGACTCACAATGTGAATCCAACGGCATCAGTTTTGTATCGCACAGCCCACGCTTTATTGGTCTAATTGTTGGTCAACTTAAATCTTTAATTGCACGTGCGCCTTACATAAAAAAGAGAGGGGAAATTACATAATAAATATGGCTAAAGATCTAGTGCATGTTACTTTTGCTCCAGTGCTAGGTTACATTTCATTATATTTTACATCTCCAGACTGGCTGTGATGCATTGCACTCTTCTTTGAGATTAAGTAGGTTAAACCATTTGGCACATGTATCTGGTTATCCGACTGAATGTCCTCTTTCTGCCGCCTTCAGCTTCACGAGGGGATAAAGAAGTCTGGAATAATGGGCTTCTATGATCCTTGCCCCGGAGATCCGAAGCTACTGCTCGTCGAATACATCTTTCATGGTCGGCAATACAAGGTAAGAGGATTATTACCATCCATATTATGTACAACTGTTTGCATGTCTGTATTGTGCCCTCGTCAATAATACAAAATTGTTGAACTTTTCCTTTGTTTGCAGGTAATGGCAGATGATTACGGTGCACTGTCGATACCACAAGACATTCATGAGATTTGACCTGAGGGAGTTGGTCCAAATCAGCGTTTGAACACTTTTGAGTCGCACTGTAACCATCATAGTTTTCGTGTGCTGATATGCTCTTTCTGGTTTTGGGTATCATTTCTCTATGTGAGCCCCCTTTTGTTGTATACTACTACATGAGTGGGCTTGTGCCACCTAGATGAGTAATAGAGGGCATGTCCCAAGAATAAGATGAGCCAATAATAGGTTTACAGCATTTAGCCTTGGAAGGTTCAGCTTTGTTTGGTTGTTGATTTTTGGTTGGAAGCATATCTTGTTCAGCGGAAGCATATCTCTCCGTTGATGTTTGGTTGTTGATTTGCGAAGGTTCAGCTTTGTTTCTTGCTGCACATGCATCTGTCTGCTTGTGTCCGACAGTGTGATGCCTTGTTCCAGTATTTGCTTCACCTGCTGTGTTTGGTCTAGCATTATGTAGTCTTAGCAATCATCTTTTTTCTTTTGGGCCATATGTCGTCTCCTTGTTTCATAAGTGCTGGCCTGCGTGTATCTGTTCAAACGCGATGGCTTCAAAAACTGAGCTCAGCTGCAGACAAATCGTTTGCATGCGGACCATCATCTCAAATAATATTTTTTTGCTCGCACTGGCAGGCAGATACGCAAATCCATCATCTGATACCTCATCATAAACTAAGAAGCATAGACACCAAACGCTAATCCCAATCACTAACTCCCTGCACCGAAGCGAATAAGATGGTTGGTTCAGGTGAGGAGAGGATTAGAGCATCTCTTTTGCTGGAGCTGCGCCCCTGTCTTTGCCATGTTCCTAGACCGGCTAACACATCGTCCTGTGCCTATGCTACATGGCAGGTTGACGGTGGATTCTCCGGCTGCTCGGTGGATCGCATTTGCGTTAACCTGCTGTCGACCAAGACCGGCCTGACCGCCTGCGTGGTTTCTTTAGGGAGATTCTCCATTCGCTTTAGATTTGGACCAGATCAAGACTTGGGATCTAAGGTAGCTTAGTCATGCAGGCTACAAAAAAGGCAGGGTAACAAAAACACCACTTAGAGCATGGCTATGATGTTGTCATGTCATCTAAAGTCACCATAAGTCACCATTTTTTTTTCCCGCAAAAAAAAGTCACCACTTTTAGCTATAAGGTTTAGGGGCTATAAGAGTAGTAGTGTTTTTTCTCACATTCTCTTTATCTTTTTCTTCATATTTATTGTCTGTTTAGGAGCATGCATAGAGTTAGATTGTTGCATAAGAGACCACTTCCTTTACTTTTTTATGCCGCTCTTCCACGTATAAGCAAAATTACCATGTAAGCAGACTATAAATCTACTACTGTGGATTTGTGGTAGGAGTACTTGCTCTTAGCAATACAGAAACATTAGCGGGGTGAAACAGCTTTGTGCGAGTAAAGGCGTCTCGCAGGGGCCCTAACACGTGTGCTCTTTCCGTTTGACATGACGCTGGATGCGGATCTAGATCCTTGGTACGGACCCTTTCCCTTGATTCGAGACAGTGCATGCTTTGTCGGTCGGCGATCCATGCTAAGTGATGGGTCCAACTTTATTCCGTGCGCTGGGGTTAAAGTGGATGCTGTAGAGAGAAAATTGAGTTAAATATACCAGGGGTACCTCAACTTGTTCGGCGCGGTCAGTTTGGTGCCTAAAGTTGTAAAATACATAAAACTAGTGCTCGAACTTGTCTGGATATGCAAATACGGTGCCTCCTTCCGTATCCAGGCGTATGCTATGCTGGCATGGCGTGACAGCATGGCGGTGACCCGCATGTAAGTGGCTGAGAGCAGGGGAGGAGCTGGGTAGCCTACGCGTGAGAAATCACCTCATATTTTATTTAATCATTTATGAAAGCCAACAATAAAAATAAATTGCTTGATTTAGAATCCATGCTGAGATCTCACGGTCGCAGATTGCATTATACGCATCCACCACGCCAAAATATGCACAATGAAATTTCACGAGGTCGAACTATATATATGGTGTTGCTGTGCAAAAGGTAACTTTGGAGCACGGGCATATTGTGCCTGTTACTCTTAAGTCAAATTGGATTTTTACAACTAAAAAAAATCCAAAATCTTTTATACGTGCACTCATAGAAGTGTAATATATTGTGCGAATTTTCATCAAAATTCGCATTTGTATGTGAGAGATACTAAAAGATACATACTTCCTCCGTTTCAAAATAGATGACTCAACTTTGTTTGTACTAACTTTAATACAAAATTGGGTCATCTATTTTGGAACGGAGGGAGTCCATGAAATTTTTTTCTTGTTATTTGGCTGGAATTTTGTCTTTATTGCAGGGCACAATGTAACATAATTTCGCACAAAATTTGACGGTCAGAGCACATGCATACGTCTCTGGCGTGAAAAAATGTTGAACTTTTAAGTGACAGTTTTTAACCTTAAAAAAACATGCCCAGTGGCCACCGTGCTCTGAAAATCCGCTTTGGCTGCTATGTACCTCGCCAAGCTATTCTTTTATATATGGTACTCGTTTGGGCCCACACAAGTTTTATTTTTATTTTTCAAGTTTGTTTTTAATTTTTTTGTCTTTGATATTGTTTTTACCTTTTGAAAGAAGAAATGCAAGAAAAAGTTACAACTGCCATAAACTTAAAAGAAAGCCCTAGTGCATTTCATGTTTTTGGAAAATGTTTCACATGTATTCAAAATTTATAATGTGTTTTCTAAATTCGTCAGGTTCAACATGTTTTGGAATATGTTCATCGAGTATTAAAACATTGTTGTGTAAAATTGTCCTTACAATTCTACAAACACGGTTGACATGTTTTGATACATTTCTAGGATTTAATATTATTGTACAGTAATTTTCATATATGTTGAATAATTTCAAAAAATACAATGCTGTCAATTCTTTTGATAATTTTGTACTTCAGAAATACAATGAAGATACACCATAATCATGTATCCTTATGGTCCGGAGTGAAGATATATAAATTTACACAATAATCTTAAATATTTGTTGAAAAATCTAAATCCACAGAATTTTTTTAAAGTTAACTTTACCTCTTCAAAGTACACAATGAAAAGATAATAAATAAATAAATAAATATACACAATAACTGCGTATCGATAATTATTGTATTTTTTACATGGGAAATTTGCGTGCCATAAAAGTGGAATTCAGAAAAAAAAACAATGGATTACGCATCAGAGAAATTGCAAAGGAACACGTGGAATTGATCTACATAATTTTCTAGCTATTTCACGTGCCATAATTTTCTAACGTCACCATCAGAGAAATTACCGGATAGTTTGCCCACATGGGCAGATGGTGACGTTTGGTAACCAGGAGGTGCAGGTTCTAAACACCGTCATGGAGATTTCTTTTCATGTTATTTATCTCTAGCATACACTGTGTTTGAGGGCTTTTCTACATAATTTTTTTAAATAAAATACAAGGGATGTTCCTGCAAAATAATTCCTCCCTGCACGTATCCACTTACATGTGGGCCACTGCCATGCTGGCACTTCACGTGGGCAGGGCGTATGTTTGAATACGAAAGGAGGTACCGTATTTGCACGACTAGATAAGTTCGGGCACCAATTTTATGTATTTTGCAATTTTAGGCACCAAACTGATCGTGCAGGACAAGTTTAGGCACCTTCGGTGTATTTAACTCGAGAAAATTAAATCCCGCAAGTCGGGTTCGGCTCGATGACTCTAAAATCGAAGCACAACCATGAGCGACAGGAGAGCGCACACTCGCGCGTGTACGTACGTGCTCTCTGGCTAGAAAAGGTGGAGGTAAATGAAGCCGAGCAAAGGGGAGTAATGTTTGCACGTACTACGTACGAGTAGATACTGTAGGTAGAGCAGGCGCCCCGCACCCCGGCACCAAACGCGTATTCTGGCTGGGAATAGTGATACTACTCGTGTAGCCTAGCTACTAGGAGTAGTACTACTAGCTATCCGGCTGGCATCCAGCTGGGCGTGGCCGTGAGACAGCAAGCAGTCCGTCCTCTCCTCGCTCCACCAAACAAGGAGAGGAGATGGTCGCGGCGCGCTTTCGGCAAGGGTCAATGTTAGACCAGCTGCTGACTGCCGGCCCAACTGGAAACAGCGGAGCTGCACGGCTCCCAAATGTATGTGCACGCTCAAACACATGGATTTCAGAGGGATGCAAGGAATAGCAAAGTGCACGAAAAGTACTCCCTCCGTTCAAAAATACTTGTCCGAGGAATGGATGTATCTAGATGTATTTTAGTTATAGATACATCCATTTACATCCATTTCTACGACAAGTATTTCCGGACAGAGAGAGTAGTATGATAGCAACAATACTCTTACACTCACCTGAATGAGAGTAAAACGCGGGATAAGAAGATCATATGCTAGGTAGAAAGCGAGTGGGAAAGAAGAAGGAATCTTGTTTGAAACAGGAGCTGAGGATACCATAAGGCCAACTCCATCGCGCGATCCTATCCTGTCCGGTCCCGTCCGTTTGGGGTAAAACGAACAAACTGAACGGTCCAACGCGCGGGAGCAAACAGACATTTGTCCGTTTTGTGTCCGCTTTCGACCCATCCGCGGCCCAAGTTTGCGCTGCTTTTGAGGTGAAGCGGACACCACGCGGACGCGCCGGCCGTCTGCGCGTGTCCTCCCCTGGCCCGCCCGTCGGTGGCACAGGACGGGCCTTTTTTTTATCCGCCCCCTCCCTCCCTCCGGCCACATCTCACTCCATTCTTCTCCATTCTTCTCCACTCCTCCACACTCCTCTCCTCGACGCCCGCCGCCGCCGCCGCCGCCATTGCGGCCGCGCAACACGGACGCGCGCTCGCCCAGCCCCTTCCCCTCGTCGCCGCCGAGCTACCCAACCACGGTCGCCTTGTTTTCGCACCCGCCGGCCGGATTTGGGGCGGATCCTGTCGGTCTTGAGCTCGCCCGACTGTGGGAGGCCGGGCCGCGCCATGGACTGGCCGGGAACCTCGCCGGAAGGCCCTGGCAGGGCCGCAAGGCCACATGCAGGCAATGGCTCATCC